TGATATGTTATGTAGCATATATTAACCGCTTGATTCCTTATGTTGCAAAATGTAAACTATATTATTGCCCAGCTGTTCTCTGCTAAATGCAACCAAAAGGTATAAAGATATTAAAGGAATGGCACAAAAATGAAAATCTGCTGAAAATGTACTCACTCTCAGGTCATCCAAGATGTAGTAGTTTGTTTCTTCATCAGAACAGATTTGGAGAAATTTAGCATTGCATCACTTGCTCTCCAATGGATCCTCTGCAGTGAATGGGTGCCGTCAGAAGGAGAATCCAAACAGATGATAAAAACATCACAATAATCTACAAGTAATCCATATCTTGTTAAGCGGAAAGCTGCTTGTTTGTAAGAAACAAATCCATCATAAAGGCGTGTTAACCATCACATCTGGTCAACATAGGAGTTCATAATCCATAATAATGCTTCCATCAGTGAAAAAGTTTGTCCTGTGTTGTCATCTCACATCAAAATCCACCAACATATTTGTCCAAACTGTTTTGGGCTGTTTTCACCTGTAAAAGGTGCTTGAGCTTCCATATTTCTCTCCTGATTCAGATGAGACAACCTATTCCCTAAAGAAATAAATATTATGGCTAGAGGATTTGTATTTTAGTCAGAAGCAACGGTTAAAAATGTATTGATGGATTTGTTTCTTACAAACAGCTTTTTGCTGCACAAGACATATATTGATGGACTGGAGTCATGTGGATTACTTGTGGATTATTGTGATTTTTATCAGCTGTTTAGACTCTCATTCTGACAGCACCCATTCACTGCAGAGGAACCATTTGTGAAGTGATGCTAAATTTCTCCAGATCTGTTCAGATGAAGAAACAAACTCATCTACATCTTAGATGGCCTGAGGGTGAGTAAAATGTACAGCAAAAAAAATTATAATTTTTGGGTGAACTATTCCTTTAGATATTACAAACATAAACATCATGACTGTCTGTTGGGATACAGACTTGACTATTGAGATACAGCTTTGGAAAGAAACCTTGGAAGTGTCAGGCTGTGTAGGCACAGGGAAAATGTGTAATGGATGTAATTTAGTCTGTGAGTAGCCCGTCTGACCCAGTGACTTCACAAGCACTGTCAAATCACTTTCCTTAAAGTCAAGTGCATTTGTGATTGTTTTCCAAATGCTTGTCGAAAGTGAATGAAGGGCAAAGATTTTTTTCTCAGTGAGTACCGCAGTAGACTCTCTCTGATTTGAACAGGATTGCGGTGACTGCACTCTATCCAGGCTTCAGTGACGGAGTGTTCTCCATGTCGCTGACTGCAATTTCACAAGAACAGAGAAGGACGAGAGATAATAACATAAAGAGGATGTGATTTCTCATATGGCCTCTTGTTTCCCCCCCCCCCGCTTTGAGGCTCATATCGAGTGATGGCTGTTATATTTGGTGTTTGTAACGGGCAAAAGGCATCAGAATCTGTATCTTATGCATTAGATGAAGCTTGTCAAAGTGCAGAATCTCACATAAACCCTGTAGGGATTTAGAGGCAAGAGTCTTTTCCGGACACGGTCATGTGGTCATGTAAGATCCGCAGTGCGTTTTTGCTATACAAATGAGATTTGGTGTTATGTAATTCAACCTCTCTTCATTATTATACACCTGTAGTGAACCCCACACTACACTACCTCCTGAATATTGCAGAAAGTATACAGGACCCCACTAGTAGGAATCAAAAATAGAGGGCGCTCGCTGCAGAGCCAAATGGGAGGAGCTGGAGCTCTAGCTCCCCATCGCTGGATGTAATGGGTGGAGCTAGACACCCAACCACTCCCTAACCCTATCACTAAACATAACTCCACCCATTAGTTCACACAGAGGTGGAGCTGGACATCCAGAGAGGGGGAGCTGGAGGTCATTTGGCTCTGCAGTGAGCAGTACTTGCAAAAATATAGCACAGACTTTAGTCAGGGTAGCGCCATGTTTAATTTTTGATAGGAATGAAAATTAGGCTGTGAGAGGTGCAGTGTCTTTAGTGGATTCGTACTGTAGTTTAACCCCTTAACAACATGCCAATTATTCAGCTGACAAAACATATTTCTGAAGAAATTTACAGTAGACAAAAACTCCACAAAACTGTTTGAACTGAGAAACCAAAATTCCCTTGATATTTTCACATATAAGAGGTCACTGTACTATAAAAACATCCTGTAAGTTTCAGAACTCAGAACTTTCTCGTTAGTCTAAAAACAGCTTATATTGAAGCCAGTCTGCCAAAAGGACAGGTTGTGGAATGTACAAATCTATGATGTGACTGTGACTAAACACCTCAAAGAATAAGATCAACACCTGCTTCTACATCACTGCCTGTTTAGCCCTGCCCACCAATTCACGCATGTAGTGTAAATAACGAGACGGGCTAATAAGAAACCAAACGATAAAGATGGCTCTGAAGACAAAACGCTGTGCAGTGCCAAGTTGTGGAAAAACAGTGTTTGCGTTGGCTTCCTTCTGATTCCAATGTTAGGACAGAGTGGATGAACTTATTTTTAATGAAGTTCCAGACCGAGTCAGTAAGAACTCGGTCCTCTGTTCCCTTCATTTTACCGCGGATTCGTTTACAAACAGTGCACAATTTGACCTGGGATTTTCAGAAAGATTGAAACTAAAAGACAATGCTTTGCCGACTATATTGGATCCGATGTCGTACCACACAAGTGTGAGTAACGTAAACTGGTTTTATTACGTAGTCACTGTTGCTTCGTCTGTTACAGATCGTTTGCTATGTAATGAGTATTTATGCGTTTTAACCTAAATCACAACAGCGTCCATCTGTGAGGAATGTAGGCTGTCAAACATACACAACAACAACAACAAAAAAACTGTTAGCCAGTCATAGGAGTGTGCCTTTACTTCCTAGTCTACAATCTGCCAGGCCTATTCAAACAGAGCATTCCCATGAGGGGGGTTAAAAACTGGACAAAAATAGCCTATTACTTCTAAATTATTATTTGTGATGTAAAAATCTTTAAAATTAGATTTTTACATCAAATTTAAAATTTGATGTAAAAATCTGGTGGGTTTGTGGCAACCACATGTGGCGACCCCAGGCTGGACTCCGCTTGGTCCACGGTGAAAGCCAATCCGGAGAACCACAGCGCAAAGTTGTAGTATTTCCTCAGCAACCAGCACGGATCAGCTCCAGGCATGACGAAGCGGATATCATCCTCTTTTGGAAGGCCAAACAAAGTAGTTTCACTTTCACAACGAAGCACACAGTGCCTTCACGACATGGTGGCCGCGGCAACAATACTACAGCGAGAATAAAAGTTACGCCTTCTTCTTTGCGTGAACATTTGGGCGGTGTTATGCAAATCTTCCCACACAGTGACGTAGACATGTGGGGGCGTGTTAGAACAAGCCATTTTACGTAGGCGTGGCTGACTCTTAACTTTTATAAAGAATATCTCTTTGGATTTGAGACTTTAGTCTTTGCAACTTTACAGATCTTCTTTATGCACCAAGAGCTTGTAACACTCCAAAGAGAAAGGAAAAAGACCTATAAGACCTGCACGCATCTAATATGTATCCGTTTTTCTCTCAACTGTTTACTTTCATTTTAGACATATCCAACTGAGTCTATATGTAAACCTTGTGTGATTTGACAGTATTAGCGCAAATGATAACTTAGTTCAGTAATCAGGTGCTGTTTGACAGGCTTTTTAATGAATGAAACATTTAAAAGCACATGCAAATAATGTACTTTTGTGATTGCAAATAAGTGCAGTGTCCTGTGAGAGTAACTCTACCTCTGAGTTAAAGGGTTAGTTCACCCCAAAATGAAAATTCTGTCATTAATTAGCCTACTCACCCTCATGTCGTTCCAAACCCGTAAGACCTTCGTTCATCTTCGGAACACAAATTAAGATATTTTTGATGAAATGTGAGAGCTCTCAGACCCTGCGTAGACAGCAATGCAACTGTAATGTTCCCAGGTCCAGAAATGTAGGAAGGACATCGGGACATCGATAAAACAGTCCATGTGACATTAGTGGCTCAACTTCAGTTTTGCAAAGCTACAAGAATACTTTTTGATTTAGTTAATTCTTCTCCCCCGAGTTACGTCTTCCGCCATTTTGGAGAGTACCCAAGAGCGTGATCGACGTAATCAGCGTTGTTTACGTTCGGGGAGAAAGCGCGCGCATGAACATAATCTGCGTAATCAGCGTTGTTTACGCTTAGGGGAAAGCGTGCGTATGCATTGTGATACTCTCTAAAATGACGGAAGACGTAACTCGGGGGAGAAGAATTGTTGAATCGTTCTTTTTGTTTTTGGGGAAAAACTCTAAAAACACCAACAAAACGGGTCAAGAGGTTTATATTATTAATTCAGCTTGCTTCATAAATTATTTTTAAAAATCCCGACTGCTCCTTTATTTTTAATTAGCAGTTTGATTAAGTCTCCTCATCTCAATTTATTCTGATACCTATTATACCTTTTGTGTACTGTAGCCTACCTATTGCATTTCTCTCAGCATTTTTTTTAAGTCCGCTTTCTCAGCATGAATATGAATCTTTACATGGAAACGTTATTCATTCCGGTATTTCCATATTGTTTTTCATTTTGGCTTTGTTTCCACTGGGTTTCTCACTGGAGAATGAATAATACTTTCACTTTACAATAAGGTCCCATTAGTTAACGTTAGTTAATTTATTAACTAACAATGAGCCATACATTTGTTACAGTAGCCTATTTATTATTCTTTGTCAGCTTTAGTCAGTTAATAAAAGTGCAGTTGTTCATTTCATGTTAGCTCAGGTCCTTTAAATAATATTAAAATCTGTATTTTTTTAATTTCAAAATGTATTAGTAGGTTACATGTTGAAATGAACAAACTGAAATTAATAAATGCTTTAGAAGTATTTTTCACTGTTAATTTAAAAATAACTGTAGTTAACTGATTTTAATAAATGGAACCTTATTGTAAACCTGCTTTCTTAATGACTAAATCTGAGCCCCTGTTTTATTGTAAAGGCTACATTTAATTCTTTGGACTTTTCATAAAATTGCTATTTAATTCACAGAAGGCTCCTTGAATGTCCACATGGTGGCACTGCATCTTTAAAGACTGTTGCAGGATGCTAACAGACACAGATAATCATCCATTGGTGAGTGTAACTCCCTCCACTACATCCTGGATGGAGTGTGCTTCGCATATTACTGTGAGCTAAATGTGAGCCTTTAGCCTGAGAATCCAGCTAGATCTGTGTCCCTGTGTGCATATAATTTTCAAACAGGCGTAACTAGGTGATTTTGTCTAAAATCTGAGACAAATTTCTCAGACGCTTCTCCTCTGAACTTGGCTTCTGACTGATCGTTTTCAAGCCCCAGTGAGTGGCTTTACTTTAATGTGAACTAACCTTTGGCAGCCGCCTCTACTAACTTCAATAGTCTTTCTGCATAATGAATGCAATCAGTTCTTTTGCTTTTAAAGAGACAAAACAGTGTCATCATCATTACATAGCTGTGTGATAGCCTAAATGAAAATCATGCCACCCCACAACTGGTGTGCTGTAATTCATGTTACATGTCATGTCACAATCGAAAAAAGACATATGAAAGGAAGTCACTCTTCTATACGTTTAGAGTGGTCTAGTTCTGAGAAAGTATTAGGTCAACTACTAATCTGTCTGTTCCGTATAAATTAAGTTCCACTTCCACTTTCTAATGTGTGTGTATTGTATATTTCCACAAGGGGGCATTTTAGTTTCATTGTATGTACCCCTACTAAAATCTTCTCTGTTTGCTATATGGGCCATTCTACAGTACTGCAAACTGCTGTCCCACAACCAAAAAAACACATTTAAAAAGCATTTTAGTATTCAAATCTTAGATGTTTACTAAGAGCCTTCTATTATCTATTGAAACCCACAATAATATTTAAAATATTAGTAAGCATATAAAATCATCATTTATTGGGTACTTTCAATTGGGAGGTAGCTGTGCCGAACCCTAACCCCTAAATTTCAACTTATGAAAATGATTAAATAATTTTTGTATTTTTTTCCGTTGTTGATTTCAAAAGTATCTTTTTGATTCTTTTAAAAAGTGAAGTTCAAAAAAGATTTATTTTATATTTTCTTTGTAAATTATGAAAATTAAAAATGTACTTACTTGACTTAAAATTCTGTAATGTGATGTGGTCGCTACCAAAGCATTACTGTCACTACCGAAAATGTGCCACTACCGAAAAATGGGATGTTTTGTCAAAAATAAAGTTTACTGAATTATCAACTAAGATGTTATAATATTTTTGGTTCAGTGCATATTCAAACTAATGAATCCTTAACTTTGAAATCAATATTATGAACTTTTTGCCTTTTACAAAGAAAAATTGGATTCAAAATACAACAAATCTCATGTTGTAAAAATGTAATTGTTACAGATTTACCTCTGAAAAGACTTCAATAAAATAGCAATAAGAATATATTTACAATGTAGATGTAAGCAAAATCTTAATAGGTTAATATAACCCTCCTAATTAAATTATTATTACTGTGTTCCGGTAGTGACAAATTTAGGGAGAGGACAAATATTCCAAAACTTTCTGAAAATACAATATGAGAATAAACGGCACAATTAATAGAAATGCGTACCTTTATTATATATATATATATATATATACTATACAATTTGCATACATACAATTTTTATGGAAAAAATACTTCTTTTTTTTCCCAAGACATTTCCAACTCTGACTTTGGACCAATTCTGTAGAATGGCCCATATACAAAAACATTGTTTGATTCTTGTTTGATTCCTGAATACTTTCTCTCATTTTTTACAGGGGTGCTACGGACCCAGTGACCATCCACTCAGACACTCAGCCAGTCCAATATGAACAAGTTATATTTTCTAGGTAACGTGTCAGGTCCTACTTTATATGAAGTGGCCTTAACTACTATGTACTTGCATTTAAATTAATCATTTGATACAATGCACTTATTGTATACATGCAAGTTTTTACATTGTACTTATATTTTAAAAAAATACCTGCAACATAATTACATCTGTAATTAATTTCTGTAATTACATTTATAATTACACCGTTGACCCATCCCTTACACCTTAACCCACCCTTAAACCTTACCAGCATCCCACCTCATTAGCAGCAGAAGTGTTTTGCGATACAATATGAACACAACAAGTACATTACTTATTTTTTGATGTAAGTAAATAGTAGTTCAGGCCACTTTATATGAAGTGGGACCACGTGTTATAACAACTTTATCTGTCTGTCTGTCTATCTATCTGTCTATCTATCTATCTGTCTATCTATCTGTCTATCTGTCTGTCTGTCTGTCTGTCTGTCTATCTAGTGGCTGTTCAATTTTGTAGTTTTTATTTTACTGTTTTACTGTAGTTTTTATTTTACTATACAACTAAAAATAGTCATTTTCAGAAATACGCAGATAGAAAAAAAAACTGTTTTCAGTGATCTTTCTGTACATCGTAAGCATAGATTTGAAATAAAATATATGGTTTATGGGGTGTAATTTTCACCATTGTTCTAGTTTATGGTTAACAAATGCTGTTATCCTAATTTTAGGATGCTGTATTTTTAGGATTACTACAGAGATGCATTCTATTTGACACCAGATGGTGTAAAAGAGCCAATCTGGGTTTCTGTGATACTGTTTAGTCTCAATAAGCTGCAATGGGGGAGCAAAAAGAGGCTGAAACAAAATGTTCACATGCTGACGCACAGCTCTGTTCTACTCTTTTATGGCAGATGGTTACTATACTTATGATGCTTGATTATATTTAAGCTCCCCAGGTGCATTGTGTCTAAAAATAGAAGGAAAGAGGGAGAGAAAGAAAAGAGTTAGCGGGGATTGTGCTTTACATAAAAGAGCTAGAATTGGGAGGAGGCTTTGAATCACATCTTTTGTCGACTTTACATTGATTGCTTTAATTGGCTGACTGGCCCTTGTGCGTTTAATTCATTAGCATAGCAACACAGCTCTCCTCTCTCTCTCTCTCCTTATTGGGAAGGATGCTGTGAGGAAAGGGAGGAGTGGACTAAAATTGGTGCCCCTGAGCAGGAAAGCCCATATATGGAATCTGATAACGCTGTCATGCGACGTCAAAATAGCAGGTACATTGAGTGTGGGCTGAGAGAGAGGAGGGGGGGCTACGTGCGTGTGGCATTCAGTACGTGAGTGCGTCAAAGCGGTAAGCTGGCGGTCTGTGCGAGTGCCTCTATGTCAAGTGTGTGCGTCAGTCTGAGTCAGATAGCGTCTCATCGCGAGCGTGCGTCAGTGCTGTTGCTGAGCAGTCCGCGCTCCAGGGAAAGAGTGAGGAGAATGCACTGAAAAGAAGGGATACAGCGACAAGGGTGATGGAGGAATGGGAGCGAGGAAAGGACAGTGGTTAGCAAATGGGAAGGCATTGGGAGGAACTAGAAACCGACACATGAGTACTTTTAAGTGCACTTTAATATAAATGCCTCTGTTTTGACGACCAAATACACTTATCAGCGACACAAAAGAACACTGATCCACAATGTCCATTCTTCATAAATAGCATATGTCAAGTATGTTTTCATCTCATACGATAGAAATGTCTTCGATATGTACAGACCGTTGTTTGTACAAATGTACAAATGATTACAATCTTTAACCGTTCCGCATCATGCCTAGCTAGAGGCACGTGCACCATGCACCCTGTAAATCAGCATACATACAATAAAATACTTTTTTATTTTTAAACTTAGCATGTAAATAGCTAGAACATAGGAATCAATCCTTTACTTGACCGTAGACAACTCTACGTTAGCATGTCGACACCATGGGAATAGAACCATTCTCAACCCGTGTCGATTAGTAACTGAATAGAAATAGAACCCCATCTGTATTTTCTCACTCATTTTTTAAAACAAAACTTTGCTTTGTTTTTTTACCCCTCTCAAAAAAGAAGAATCGATCATTCACACAGTCATTGTCACCACTCCACACCGCAGACAGCAAAGTTACGATGTCACCGTGGTATTCACTGAATAAAGGTGCTGTTTCTCTTAGGTCTGCAACCTCTTGATGTGCCAGGCACTCGGGAGTTTAAGCAGATTGCAAGCATTACAAATATTGATGCTGCAAAAGTCCAGTGCAATTCCTTCTAGCCATGCCCATCGGAGTAGCCGGTTGAATGGATTCGTTACTCCGTCACTCAGCAGTAGCTAGAAATAAGTCCAGTAATGTCCGTGCATGCAAAGCCATGCACAATATTTTGTCCTTCTCCCTGGCGGCTTCCGCTGCAGCTTGTGTCCACCGGCCAGTAGGAGAACAATGTGAAAACTTGACTTGTCTTGCACACAAAGTGGAATTTGTTCACATTTGTACATCACATTGAAACACATTTGAAATGATATGTCCAAGAATTGCATTCACAAACTCAAAGCCCAATGTAGTCTTAATTCTGTCATTTATAATACTGTTTCTGACATTACAGTTACTGAGCTGGAAGATTGGAGAGGAAAGTGAATCAGCTGTGGGAAACATGCTGATATTGATACTTTTAGAAACTGGTCACTTTTTGAAATGACCAAATATTGATCTATTATGTGAATACATTCCACACATTGGGTTTTGTGTGTGTGATGCTGGATGACAAGCACTGAGCTGTTTTTTTTCATGTCCTCAAAGTTCACAACTGAGTTTTTTCACTACAAGTGAATACAAATGCAAGTCTGTAAGTCAGTTTACACTTACAAAGTCAGAGCTGTAACTCTCACTTATATAAGCTCATGTTACATTATAGCAGAAAGACATAAATTGACCTCTTAGTCCCCTTAGGACTTGTTTAAGACTAGTATATTGCATTGCTACCAGAGGGTTGCACTATTATTAACATAAATGAATGGATAATTAGATGAACAATTGTGAACGTGACGATTTACTCTCAATGGATTTGAAGAAGTTCAAGTCTTTTTTGGCATTATATACATTATGTATATATTTATACAGTTAATTAATATTCACTTTTCAGCAAAAGTAGCTCCATGAAATATGACAATATGCCATACTTAATGAAGTAAGTCACAGACTTATTTTAGAACGGAGGATCACTTCCACTCCCATCTGAAAGACAAAAAGAAGGAACAGGGACAAAATGTTAAAACCAATAACAGTTACTCAGTTTGACAAAAATGACAACAAAGCAAAATGATCAGAAAAAGGTTCAGCTTCTCACCTTTGCGGAAGCACTGTTGCGGTGCATGACTTTGGAGTTGATACAACTCAGGTTGTTGCCCCAGGTCGGGGGCGATCGAGGCACCTGCCCCAAACATGGGTTCCAGGGCGGCCAGCTCCTCGAGGAGGGACTGGGCGCAGGGCAGGCCGGGCGAAGCGGGGCTGACAGGCGAGGAGACAGGCAACAAAACTGGGGAGGCGGGGAAGGCAGTCAGCTGCAGTGGTGGAGATGTTGGTATGCCCGTGAACAGAGGCGATGATGCTGCCTCTGTCTCCATGGCAACTTCGCCTGCCGCCTTCCCATCTGCCATGTTGCCTGTGTTGACTGACGACATCATAGCCCCTCGCCCGGCCTCATTGTTACAGTGCGCCGATTGGACGCTACAGAAGTGACCGGCACTCACAGCAGAGACCCCGTCAAAGTGCAAGGGTGGGCACCAGCACTCAGGAGTGGAGGGGGAGGAGGGGGGGCTGGAGTGGGAGGAGGAAGAGGGTGTCGGTGAGAGGGGAGGGGATGACGTGAGGTCCTGCAGAAGGGTCTCCAAGACACTCTCCTCAAACAGAGAGTCATCATCAGGGAAGATGGGCAGGTCCAGGCCTTTCCAAGACTTGAGTGGGTAGAATTCGCCCAACAGTGGGATTGAATCAAGTCCCATAGAATCAAGAGATGGAGACTGAGAGCGTTCAAAAATGGTGGAAGGAACCAGCTTGGTCAGGAGTGGATCTAGGTAGAAGCCCTCTACTAGTGTGCTGATGTGTTGGGCTAAAAGCGAGATCTCCATTCTCTCTTTTTCTCTTTCACGTAGTGAGGAGAAGAAGGGTAGATTGGGCTGTTTTCCAGGTGAGGCTTCAGGTGTGAGGAGACCTTCTGGTGGGTAAGGTAGCGGCCCATGAGGGACATCAACATACAGCGGACCACGGACTTCTGGTAAAGTCATAACTGTGCAGTCACCATCACCTGGACTGTCAGGAGTAGGAGGGAGTTTCTCATAGAGCGACCCACTGCAAGGCTCCACTGGGAAGAGGATCTCTGTGGTTGGAGATGTTATAGTGAGAGGCAAAATAGTTGAGAGTGTTGTCGTCGGAGGAGGTGGGCTGCCTTGTGGGTTCGTTGGCGCAGATGGAGAAAGAGATGAAGCCATCGTCGTGGTTACTGTTGCAGTTGGAGCAAGAGGAGGTGGTGAGGTAGCCCCGGTAGGATCGAAGCTAAAATGAGGTTCCCCAAAGGGGAAATTGCTTCCACCTAGTTGAGGTGTGTATGGGGGTGTGCACTCAAACTCCTTGGTCTGTTGGGCTTGGGAGGTAGGCACAGGTGGAAGAGGAAGGGGCAAGGCTGGTAGAGGAGGATCTATCTGGAATGCTGGTGGCAGCAGAATATTCTGAGTGAGGAAGTCCAAGTCAGACACTGTTGCAACCGTGACTGGAATGGGAGATGATGCAGAAGCAGGACTGGCCACAGGTTCGCTGGGCTCATGTTGGAAGAAGCTCTCCTCTTCCAAAGAGGAGAGACTGGAACGTGGGCCGCTCTCCAGTTGTGCAGGCTCCATTGAGGAGCTGCCACCTTGTTCCTCAGTAGATCCCGCACTGCATGCTGCCGTGCTGAAGTCAAATGACTGACCGGAGAGGCCACTGCTTCCTGGTGTAAACACTTGGTCAGGGCTTGAGAGTGTTTCTGGACTCTGTAAGCTTAGGCTTTCTTGTTGGGAAGTGCTTGAGCCCAGCACCAAGGAGAGCTGGGTTTGTTCAGAGCTCAGCTGCTGCCTGACTGACCAAGCCTCTGTCTCACTGTGGCAAAGAGAAAAAGACACAGAATTAATGATATTCTTACTTGTTTCAGCTTTGGTTTTTAGTCTTGACTTTACAGATATAGGCTGAGTCTTACCTGATAATGTAATTGTTACTGACAATAGGGGTTTCCCCAGTTTCCAGCTGCAAGACCATGTAAAGCCAGACCCATGAGTGATCTGCAGTCTCTACACGAACCACCATCTCAGCCCTGCCCTCTCCTCCCTCTCTCACTGTGTGTGGAAAAAAGATGGGTAAGTCAAAGCATATTCAACTTCTTGTGAGGTTTTATGTCATGTCTTGGCGGGTGGTCAGAAGTACTTTTTTACAGCAGATGCATATTACTCTGTATTGCTCTTTGTAAGTGTCAAATGTTGATAGGCAACTGTGAGCTAGAACAGTGCTCATGCTGGGCCTAACCAAGCAAATAAGGCTGAATTTTGTATGTTTAGTCATTCAAGAGTGAGACTCACATAAGCTGCAGTGCTGAGCTGAGGCATGTGAAAGATCCTGAGGATGCAGGAAGCTGTACCAAGATTGGGACCGCAGAGTCTCCACATTTAGACCCAAATAAATATTCACACTGAAAGTTGAAAAAAAGGAAAATTTATTTATATGAAAATAGTTTATTTTTTTAAAGCATATAATTATTGGTATTTCACAGTTTTATAAAAAAAAAACACCTAAGGCATTTAACCTTACCTGTTTTGTGCTTCCTGAAGTCTCATGTCACGGCTGTGCTGAGAACGGAAACATGGCAGGAAGAAGCTGCTCTCTAGTGCAGGAGATGAAGGTGGTTCTCTGTCCGGGGCAGTTCCACCTCGGGATGTGTGAGGCTCCAGAGGAGTACAGAAACATACCCACACTGGGTTGGAAGTCCAGTAGGATCCTGGGGAAGACTCGTTGGGAGTTTGTGACAGGCAGCGGGCACGGATTAAAACAAGCTTATTGCCTGCACTCTGCCTACGCACTGATTTGGAGGTGTTGAATCTGCAGCGGAACAGAAGATCTAAGGAGGAAAGGCACGAAAATAATGAGCTCTTAGAAATCTGATATATATTATGTATCTGCGTGGCATTTTTTTAAGATCTTACCTGTGTCATGTGAAGTTGGAGGCACTAAGTTACTCCTCATAATAAAGTGGTCTGCACTGTCTATTATGTCGTACACACTGTCCCCTTGAGCGACCAAGTCTACCTAAATATTCAAAAAAGAATACACTGTAGGTGAACTTCCTCTTTCATTTATATTGCTTAGGAATAGGCTAAAATAACTTGAGATGAAGGGAAGGGGAAACCTATAAAGATTTAATGAGAATAACTTTTTTTGTCTGCTTGACTCACCATTGAGTGTCCGAGGTGCTCTGAGACGCTGTCTGACAGGTACAGTAACTTCCCTTCTCCAGTCAATAGCAGAAGAAAGCCTGGCATCATTTGTACCAACTCATTCAGTTCATGAAATGTGAGGAATCCTGCAGTTTCCTCAGCACTGCTATCTGCAGCTGTATCTGAAAGAAGTAATTTTAAGTCTGAATAAACTATTACATTTTATTTGTAAGAAAAGTGAAAGAAAAGATCATCCACGAATGCGATATCACGATTTTAATTCCAGCACCATGGACAGCGTTTGTGTTTCAGCACCATGGAGAGAAATATCGTTTCAAAGCGCTGTTTGAACTGCATGTTCTTTTGTATCTTTAAAATAGTTCTCTGTATTTTATACGCATAAGCAGCCCAGATAGTGTTAAAAAAAATTTAATTAAAGATGCACCTGTTTGCATCAACTCGCGGCAACAAGCGCGTAAAATTAAGTATTGCCTCAACACAAACTCAGATCTATGAAGCTTTGAGGATTACTTAAAAGACTTTTATTCGACTGTTATTTTCCAAACAATTGAAATTATATTTACCTTCACTGAAGAAGACAGACTTTCTCGTGTACATGCAAGCCAGCGACATGATATGAAGATAGGAGAGACGAGACTTGTCCGCATCGGAGATGGGCAACAAGTCCTTCAGGTTCCTAATCTCCGCGTTTATCTGGTCTCTTCGAGCTTTCGACGCTCCTTTGGTGGACCGATACATTGTGGTGACTAAGGCTGAGGACTCTTTCTGAGCTTCGCTGAAAGTGTTGACTACGGTGCAAGTTGAGAAAAGTGTGAGGCTCCTTTCCAAAAGAGTTTAGGCGCGTTCACAGGTGTGTCATCTCAGCACATGTCCAGAGTACGTCTGCTCTTCTCCTTTCGCCTGCCTCTCCCGGATTTCCCCCCGCGGTTCCGCCACAGCGCCTGGCTCAGGTTGCGGACCGGAGGCTGGATGGATCTTTCCTCCGGGTCGGAGATTGAGTCAGTCGGCTGCTGCTGAAGCCGTCTCTCGCCCAGATATTCGGAGTCCGTAAATCTGGTGGAGTAACATTGCAAGCCGGTAACTTATATAGGCTGAGGTTTCACCAGTGTAGGGGGGCTCCCAACGCGCCAACACCGACGTAGAAAAGAGCGCAGGGGAGGGGTATGGAGTAAAAGGGGGGCCGGGGGGGATTTATACGTCTCATATCAGTGTAAGCAATGCTGAATCTCACTCGTCTTACCCCTCCCAACCCGTGCGCTCTGACTCTGCTCCGACGTCAGCATCCCCTCTCTCCGTTGATGACGTTGGCTTGAAATCGGGAGCTCCGGCGACGCAAAAAGCCCGATTTGGACAAAACCGAGCAATGGGCGGGGACAGAGAGTGAAACGTAGACGGAGTCACCGCACTCCGGTGTATAGACGTGTACAGAGAAGGGGGGTTCTGGTTCTGAGCTGCATACGAACGAGATAGAGGAGCACTCTTCCCCAATCCTCTTGTGTGGCATGCTGATTGCCTCCAACCGACCGAGTTCAGATATGATTCAGAAAATTATTTCTGTCTTGTAATCCAATGTCTTGCACTGCATGTTCATGCATGGATGCAGAAAGGGTTGCATGGAAGCACGGATGCAATCCCTGACATTATTGCTGTAATTTCATGCATCGCTGCTTTATTTGCGTAAGTTTCCACATCTGGCAAGCTGTGTGACCACAGAATGAATTCTTCAAGGGATTTCCATTCACAAAATGGCAGATTATAGTAGCATGCGGGACAATGCGCTGCAGTGCTTATGGTGACTTTAAATGCAGCACAGTGCATGTGCCCCAGTGAAGCAGACGGGGTAACCGAGAACACCGAAATCTCTGCCTAATTATTATTTCATAAATGCTTTCTCTCTGTCCTTATAAGGGAAACATTGGGCGAGCATAGACAAGGACAACAGCTGTATTGAGTTATGTCTTATGAGATTGTTTGCGTAAGGCGACATTGTGGGGAAGAGCCAATGGCTCACTTAGAATCTGTAGTCGCAGTAATAGGGGACACATAATTGGTTGCTTCATTATGAACTTAAGATGCTCCTGTCGAGGGCAGTCTGAATGAGACAGTAAGTTTAAGAATTAAATGGACATCAGGTAGGGTTAGCCATCATGCCTAACTCACTGAATGGAGTTTGTTCATGAATGATTCTTATCTATCAAAAATGCCAACTGTACCGGGGAACCGTTATATATTTTGTTTAAGTTGCATTACGTAATACATTACAAATTACAAAATGTGCATTGTGGTAAAAGTATTTTAATCGCCTCCATTTTGTTTTAAACATTTTAATTAAACATGCAACCATATATGAAAAATCAATTTTAAAAATAGAAAATAATTTTGGAAGCAAATACAAATGCATAAAATATAGGTTAACGACTCTCAAATGTGGTCTACATGGTCCAATTCCTCTCTTATCTAATATCAATTGTGATCACAAATCAAATTATAAACCACAAACTGGTGTTAAACTCGAAACCACTCCCTAGTCTCACCTAAATAACATAAAACTCCTGTCAAACAATTGCTCATTTCTATCACAAGCTCTACTGATGCCTCTTTGCATTCTCTGGACAGTTTGTTCCGTCCATAATGTCCGACAAGCCGAGTGTCACAGACAGAAGTCTAGTGCAGAGCCCTCGCTGCGGTTCTGCCATTCGAGTCGATTCGTTTTCTGAAGAGGAAGCGAAATAGCCTGTTCAGTGAAGGTGAGCTATTTTTAGCAGCATGCAGAAACTCCAGTGCTTTTAGGAAAGTTATCACAGTGTTATCCTTGTGGCTTGCCGCTGTCATTCAACGATGCAGTAAATCACGCGTTTCATTTTCATTCATGATAAATGACCAAGAGTGGTCATTAAAATTATACACATTGAGAGTAATACTATTTAAATGTCAGTAATATGCTATTTTAGACGGAATCAAGATGTGTTCGTCGTTCATTCACCAGTCCATCAGAGAGGCACGCGCACATCTCTGAAACCTGTTGCGCGTGAGGAGCGCGAGTGAATTGACAGTTTCGCTTTTCTAAAAATAGCCCATGGCTAGTGTCTGACAAACGCACTCAGATTTACCGTCCTCGGCGACACATTTAGTCTTTTTAAGCAAACATTTGTGTTTCGTGGTCAAAAATAGATAGTTGAGTAGGAGTAAGGGGTTGAATATTAATTGTCAGTGGGTTATATGATATATGCGTGATAAGCTATCCATTAAACAAAACAAAGCTGGTTTGCTGGCTTTTGTTGGTCTCGGATAGACTAGCGGTTCTTCCAGCACAAATCTCATCTTAAACTAGCTAACAGAAAAGCTTGACCAGGATGGGAGACCAGCTTACTGGTTTAGACCGGTTTCAGATGTTCTTTTCAGCAGACTTTACATTAGAGATGTTTTCAAGTTCTTATCACGTTAATACAGAATTTTTGCAGATGTGGTTATAGTGGAAATATCAGGAAGACACTGAACACAAAAGAATCCAGGGAGTGTTGCTATACACGGGGCCTTTAATTTGCCTTCTGCGTCTCATTATCAGAGTTAATGTCCTGTTTGGTTGGTTCTAAACTATTAACTATTGACTAATTAAGTCTGAATTCAATGCAGGATTCATTGAATTAAAGTTTTACATTTTGTTCTTTTTGATGTGATGGAAAAGGCATCTTGTAGTTGCTTAGGCTAATTAGGATGCACTCATATTCAGTGGCAGAATCATGCATAAGCTGATGCTGGTTATAGATCAAGCTGATCCCTAATGATCCTTTGTAATTGCAGTGCATCCGTCTGCAGTGCATCCATTCGTGATTAAACCCTGGCAGTGGTCACCCGTTAACAAATTTCAACTCTTAAAATAGTTGGTTGGTTTTTCTGTTCAGCAGGCCCACAGAGTGATTCAGAAATACTGAAGCGTGCAAGGCTTTTTCTAGGTATAGTTTGTATGAATAGCCTCTGCTGTTTAATATCTTCAAAGCAGAGACAGTACAATATGGAACACGATTGTTGTTGAGGATGTTTCCTTCGGCACCCATTTCTGGTAAATTGGTCGTAATCAATGAGCACCATTGAGTGCAAATTCTGATAAGTTTGATGAGTGGTCATCTCCGGTGCATAAAGTGGATGCAAATGCACACGTCAAAGTTTCATCGAAATTGCTCCTCT